GTATCGGCTATAAACTACCCTCTTAATAGACTATAAAGATCGAACATCGAATGTTGACGTACCCCGTTGTAAAGTGCAATGTACGTGGTTTTTAAGGTGTCGCATACTCAGAGGTCTTGGGTTCACCTCGGTGGGGAAAATCATTGTATGATAAAAACGAGCATATGTGCCTAAGTCTTGGTTGTTAACAAATATTAATTCAAAATCATATTAATCTATGCATCATCATTATGCATTTCTATGCGTTAGCCCATAACACAAGCCTTTCAAGGCCTATTATGAGGCTAGGCTAATTGGTGTGAAGTGTTGACTCGATCACTACGGTTGTTCTACCATAATATAGTTATCGAGGACGTGCTGTAATACATTTCAAAGGAAAAAGGAATATCGAAACAATTAATGTTTGAAAAAAATTTGTCCAGGTCAATTGGTAAATTGGGAGCACCACAAATAAATTCTTAAATAAATTTAATGGTATCGCATGCCATTCAAAAGCTTGTTTATCTAAATCCAATATATAGCAAACTCCAATCTCAAGTGCAGTACACTGTAAATATGTAAAGAATTCTAAGTTTTCTGCAATTTAAGGACTATCTGCCAGATAGATAGATGATAACATATTTTCTCTTGAAAATAACAAAAGTAAACCAAATGAGTTGCTCACTCTTTTGATCGCGTAATGAGAGAAACTTGCAATATTAGAAATGTCGTGTATGAGGTGTCTGAGGTGGCCAACATGATCATTTTGTTATGTACTGAAGAAAGATTGCACGATCTACCAAATTCTTGAAAGGTTTTGAAGATCATTGTATGCAATTATCCACTTTATGTTATTTTTAGTAAAAAATACTGAAAACTGTTCTTAATATTAAACTTACGCTTTCTAACCTTGCCAGGACTGTCTGGAATAAATATACTTCAAACCCTACGTAGAGTACATGCACACCTCATGTAAGCTATGTAAATCTTATAAATAACTAAATCTTTATTTAGTATTAAGTAATACATATAAATGACTCAGATCTAAGAACTGAAAAACAAAAGGAAAAATTACAATCAATTATAGATTCCAGGATGGCAAATGAATTTCATAAAATCTGGTCTGAACTTCGTAATAGCAGCAACCCTGCAACAATATAAAAACTATACCTGAGAATTTCGTTGTAAAAACGTAAGCTTCAGAAGTTGATCGGTTTCAACATTTTTGTCATTCCGTGGGGTTGTATCAACCACTCCCTACTTCTAACAATAATTATGAATTCACTGCAATCGACCTTGCAATCACTTCCCGCCAATCTAATATGAAAGCTTGGGAAGTATAGTTGAAGAACACGGCTCTACCACTTCACTTCAATCTCCACTCCAATCAAATAGCTATGCTAGCACTACGCTTTTCATCATATTCTACAAAGAGCGAGCTCTGTCTTAAACAGCTATGAGATGGCTCGGAAACGCTGGCTTGCGTGGTTGCATTGGTCTAGGAACAAGAATGTTTATCGGAATAATCCCGCAAGTTGTGGACTAGGCTCTGAGCTAACACGATTTTTGAGAGACTTATTTTTAACACGTGACTACCGACTTATTTAAAATAATGCATTATTTTAAATAAGTCGGTAGTTTTTACATTATATACCAATGGATGATAAGTCTAATTACCTAAGCTCACCTGTCTTGGCAAACACACATATTGAAGTAGATTGTTTTTAAAGAATTAGTCCGTAACCCACTATTATGTGTCTACAAGTTAACTCTCGTTACATCATAATGATCTGTTTCAAATACCTCGTCATACTAGTTGTTGTTCTGAACGTCATACTGTAATTATGCTGCGTATTATTTGGTTCAGCATGTGGTACACACGACTTGTTCCTACTTCAAATTATCCCGAATCATTGTATTTGTACCGACGAAGATTAGTTTTAGCCTTGTTTTGGTTCAAAACAGGTGAAAGTAGTAAAAGACAATCCGATTGGTGACTTGTACCGAATAATGGTAATCGTAAGTGGGACCCTGATTTTTGGTACTTAAGTAAAAAGTACAGTCTTGTTAAATGTAACACTCAGTATCGAACAACTTTACATCTTTTTCTCGCATTCGTACGCCTTATTTGTGATATACAAAGATACAAATGAATGCTACACAAGGAAACGTCCGGTCATTAACAAAGCAAATATATATATATATATATACTTCGCGAGTTTTAAGCAAAGGAATATAGCGATCAGCTAATACATATGTTAAAGCAGCTTCGTAAGCGTGAAGAAATTAAAGGCGTGATTCAAATAATATTATTTAATCCATTTTTAAGCTTACTCGTTTCTTTATACAGTTTCATATAATCTGATAAATGTTAATATTTAAATATATCATAAATTGTCACATTGGCGTATATATCTATGTACGTGGCTATCACCAGGCGACAACAAACAGGTCTCAATATAAAGCTTTCAGTGACGGTCAAGTGGTTTAGTAACAGCATTTTACCTGAAATAAAATGCATATTAAAATACTTACCTCACTGAAAGCTTTCACTTTAAATTCTGCCTGGTGAAATAATTGAGCCAATGAGTTAATATGGCGCTGTCAAAACTTAGGAAAATAAAAATACCCGCGCTTCTGCCATGTGTCGCCACTGGACCGGATACAAGGAATATAAGTACGGAAACTGATGGTAATTCGATGGGAAACGGAAGTGCTATCTCAATATAAAGCTTTCAGTGAGGTAAGTATTTTAATATGCATTTTATTTCAGGTAAAATGCTGCTATTATTTTCTTACTTATTATTTATTTTATCTACACCCATGCTTTAAAACTTCTATTAAAGATTCTAATATAGTTAGCTTAATGTTGGCAATAAGCCAATATTAAAACATCTAATTAAAAAAAAACATAATAACACCCAAACTATACAAACACGTTTGGGTGTTATAATGTTGTACTAAAATTCATAATAACACTCCTTCGCTTTTTAAACCCCTTCCGCGCTTAGGGATTACTCATCAGACAGTCATAATTTTCACTGCACCTTTCGATAAATTTTAAGTTCTTAGAACGCCCCATTGTTTCAGAATCTTTAATAGAGGATTCATTGTTGTGGATAAAGTCTTGTATGCAACTGTTCATAATTAGGAGTTAAAACCCTCATGTGATACTATTACCACACTTAGCTTTGCGATAGATAAACCCACATTCGTGTTTTAATACCCATAATACAACAGTTGCATAAATAACTATTATACAACAGCGAGATCATAATATAATATCAATTTGATAAATTGGTCACACATTAATTTATATACGAAATTTTGGTTGAAAAAACTATAGTTCGTTTAGATTACTGAACAGGATTCCCTAGCCGAAGGTGCGGGTTCAAATCCCGTCTGAAACCTGGACAGAACGGAGTTTTTTTATCTAGTAAAATTTTCATTAGTTCATTTGCTTAAAGTTAAATATATGTATATAAACATCTTTGCGCTTTTATAACTAGAAACAATGATAAGGGAAGATACTGTTCCAATAAAAAAATTAGATTCATTCTTCGGAAAAGTATGTCAAATTATTAATTTACTTTATATCACAACAAGAAATAGTATGCGAACTTTTGTAATTAGGAGTTGATGAAAGAAACTATCGTAATAGTGTATCAACTTTTTAAGTATGTCTAAAAGATCAACAAAAATTGTGCTTGATGCTCATAATTTTATTATTTTTGTCAATTTGTAGCAATCTACAACAGTGTGATGCTTATAATTAAGAAACAAAACGATACAGATACTAATAAATTATATCAAACAAAACTATACGAGACTCAATGGAGCGAAAATTTGCATCAGGAATGCGTAACGTAACGGTGGGCGTAATTGAACTACTCCGAAACGGCTCAACCGATTTTCGTGAAATTTTATATGCATATTCAGTAGGTCTGAGAATCGGACATCTATTTTTCATCCCCCTATGTGATAAGGGTGGTCCACCCTTAATTTTTTCTTTTTTTGGACATTTTATTTTTATGATACATCATACAAAAATACATACAGCCCTAAATTTTCACCCTTCTACCGCCAGACCCTAATTTTATGGCGGTACGAAGTTCGCTGGATCAGCTAGTTTTTATATATACTTGAATTGCAGTGCAACCAAGATCTTTGGCACTTTTATGACATTAACAAGAGGGCGCTGCTGTTGAATAAGTGGTGAAATGAGGTTTACTAAGTACATAAAATGTCACTAAAGGAAACATTTTAATTTATATTAAATCGGAATTAGTAATAGGAAATATAAAAGACTTATTTTCACGTTCCTCTATAAATAAAAAGCTTATTTATGCTTTCATTAAATTAAATGTAAAGAAAATTTTACTACTAGAAAAAAATCCACGCAGACCGCTGCATTGCAGCTTAAGAAAGACTACAGAATATTTGACACGGCCAGGCCGCGGTCGCATAATGGTCAGTGCATTCGCCCGAATAGAGAAGGCTGCGGGTTGGAGTCCCGTCTGCTACCTGGACTCCCTGGAATTTTTCTAGTAACTTTTGTTTTTAGATTTAAACATCTAGCAGTTACATGCTTAAAAAAATATAATTATTCATAAAATTAGATTCAATTTCTGTCACGCGCCATAAGAACTTGGTCCCTGTACTTTGAAAAAGGCTTATTTACAACAGAAAGTAATAATCTATATTGTTACTAGCTGACCCGGCGAACTTCGTACAGTCCAAAAGTAATAATTTGCAATCAAATAATATTGCGACTATAAATGAAGATGTAAGCTATTCTATCTTACAAGTTGGAACAAACAGCACATGGTGTGCAAATTAGATTGAAATCTGTTAACTAGTTTAAGAGGCTATCCCGGACATACAACATGTAAGTTTAATCTGTAACCTTCTGTAGAGTCTAGTACAAAGACATAAAATTCAACATCACATCTAAGATACATACGCAATTTCTTTGTACACAAGACATTATGACATTAAAATGAGAAATGACAAGACATTATTACCTTGAGACCAATGTTGCTATATTTTGTGAGATATTCGCAGTACAATCATCCAATACTCTGCAGGGAATGCTTGAACTGCAATAGCTTGCTCAGGTGAGTATGGACCAGGTCTTGTGGGTTTGATATCACAAAGTAAACCAAGCCTAGTATGGAGAGTACAGCCCGCCATATTGAAAAATGCGTCCACGTGTGGTAGAAGGTTGGTATTGTAGGCTGGAAAGTAATATTTCAATATCATTAGTTCGGAAAGTAATAAGACTTGGCTGTATGGACGAACTATCTATCCCCTCCTCATTATTTTAGAAGAAAAATAAGTGTAAAACATCTGTTTTATTTTGAAACACAGTAATATAATTATGTTTAACTTGGACTGCGCCAATGAGCTACTCATTGGCGTAGTGGTAAGCGCGTTCGTAAAATAAGTTCTGTTGAGAAAAAAATTGTATTAGAATTAAAAGATTAAAATCACCAAACATAATTGGTTCATAAAGCACCAGGCTTTTGTGAATTTTAAGCGTGGTTTACACGATGCAAGTTTCTTGCCTATTGCATACAATTAAATTGAAGCAATTAATGCTCTAAACAGCACATAACATTCTTGATGTGGTATACAAGTTTTGCTTCAAAACTTTTCTTAGTGTAAACACCATCTACAATAATTTCTTAAGCAATTCTTGTATTCAACTGATAATTTACAAACATGAGTGCAGTAGTAATGATAATTTCCAAACATGAGTGCAATAGTAAGTATTAATCGTTGCTGCTCTTCTGATGCAAGAAATATTGAAAAAATGTCGTAAAAATAAAAATTTGTAATAAAAAAATTTTTCTTGGCTTAATGGATTCTCCATTAAATTATACCAAGATTTTTTTTGATAGTGCCACCAGAAACAGTGCCCATGGATTTTTTTATCATTTTCCTATCTCCATGGTACTTCAAATTTTCAATTTTTCAATGCAGTGGTCAGGCTGGAAAACCGACGTTTCCACATATTTTTTTTTAAATAATTTTTTCCCATTTATTTTAATACCATTTCTATTTTTTTTTTTTACCTCCATGGGTTAGGTGGTTAAAACAATAATACTCACCATGGTGACATTCCCGGTGACATTGGAGACGAGCGGCGTGTACTGGTAGACCATCAGCTCGTCGTACATCCTGGCTGCCGTGCATACAAGCAAGCAAGATAGGTACAGAACCACCAACACTATCGGCTGGAAGTAAGGTTGTAGGCCGCGCGTTACATCCACGCTGGTCATGTCCAGTCTGGTAAAAAAACGAGTGAGCCTTACAGTAGTCGCGTATGATGTGTACCAATTGAAACCTCACCTTGCATTAGTAAAAAAAGAAATAAAACCTACTACAAAAGGAATAAGCCATTTGAACATTATGTTCTAATATTAAATCAAATAGCGCGCGCTTTCGCGACTTCCTGTACACTCACTTCCGTCCCACTTCACGTAATCACTCCCACAAATTGCACGAAAGCGAGAGGAAAGATGTTACACATCAAAAATACCGGTCAATATTCGAAACCTCATAAATTAATTCATCATCATATTGCAATGTGTGGCCTACACAAAATTGTAGTATTTTAAGTGCTCAAATTATATCAAACATAGTATTTAATACGTTTTGTCCGAATAAATTGAGAATAATTACTTCTCCCTAACACAGCACTATTATAACTAGCATGGGAGTTAAATTCTTACAAAATTACATAACAGTCTAAGAAAAAAAAATAACATCAGCCTATTAATAGGCTTGCCAGATGGCCGGGAAATTCGGGATTGTCCCGGAATTTTGCGTCTTGTCCCGTGTCCAGTAATTAGAGTTTAGATTATATTGTCCCGGATTCCGATAATGTGCTATTTCCCTATTTCCGTAACAAAATAAACTAATAACGAATGACACCGCTGGCCTGCTTGATGTTTTAATTCTGGGGGAAGATGGGGGGTTTGATATGATGCATTTTCAGTGTGTGGGGGGGGGGGGGGGCAAATGTCCCGAAATTGATAAACCAACACCTGACAACCCTAGGCACAGGCCTTCCCTATGAACGAAAATTGGGCAGTGATCCACTACGCCCGCCCACAGCGGATTGGTGGGTGCTAACAACTGCAGATGCAGCCGGGACGAACGGCTAAACATGCCTTCCGAATCACGGAGTAGCTTGAGATTGTAAATTTTTTGTCACCCATCCAATGACCGCCCACTGCGAAAGTTACTTAAGTTCAACAATCGCAGCCAAAAGCTCTAAACACTTGCGCCATCGAGCTCCTCGAAATAAATAAATAAATAAATATTTCCAACACTCACACCAATTAGCCTAGCCCCAAAGTAAGCACTATAAGGCTTGTGTTATGGGATGCTAGGGTAACGGATAGAATACATATACTGTACACATATAAGTATATTTATATAGAAATAGATATTAAACATCCATGACTGAGTACAAATGCTCGTATTCATCACACAAACATCTGCCCCCACCGGGATTCGAACCCGAGACCTCTCGAGTCGGCGACACCATGAAACCCGGCGTACAAACCACTCGGCCACGGAGGTCGTCGTCGTAAATAAAATGAATTAACATCATATAAATTAATTATATAAAGAAAAATAACTAGGGCCTTGTTCTTATTCTGAGCGACTTTGAGCTTTAAAAGCTAGATATAAGAATCACAATTTATTGTACAAGTTTAAGATTGTGCTAGCTTAATGTGTGGATGTGTGCACTAATACTATTTATTTACTTTACTGTCTAGTTTTTAATTTATCCTTCTATCTTAATTAGTGCTGACACATTATCGCTTATATCGAAGCAAAAACTAAAAAACGAAAGAAAGAACAAGTACAATATCAAGACATATTCATTAAGCCCAATGAAATTGATAAAAAATTAGGATATGATTTTATCTTGAAATACTATATCATATCCCTGTAAATATTTTTTAAAGTGAAACTTCTTTACGCACGCTTGACTTGGGGGGCAAGCTGGCGAATGCGTTACGCGTTACGAAGTGTTTGGGATGCGAAAAGGGAGTTGAGTAGGGGATATAACCAAGAGTAAGCAGTGAGGGCGCACATTTTCTTTCTCTCTTTCTCTTATAGCTAGTAAATGAAATACGTATATGTACATACATATACGTATGCATATATATGTATATATATATATATATATATACATACAGATAGAGGTAAAGAAGTTTCACTTCAATCGTGTGGTCATAAGCACACTCGATTTTTTTTCTTTACATTTATCAACAATTGATCCAATATTTTAAGACAGATATTGCTATCTCTTTCTCTCTTGCACAAAATAATTATAACAAAAAACATAAATCAACAATTGGTCCAATACTTTAATATAATAATAATAAGTGAACTCACCTATCTAAAACAGATAGCAGGCATAGCACGCAGAAAAAATAATACGCAGCCACATAAGGCATAGTGACCACTGCATGGAAGGACAGATGCCCAGCATCCAGCCCATCCGAATAACTGATTAAGAGCAGATGCATTAGAGATAACCCTCCTAGAATGCCATGGCAAGCAGGGGCACAGTTCCTCCATGACTTCTGCACTGTTAGTGCCACGTCCAATGGTGTCAGATCACCAAGTCTAAAAACCAAATATTTTACACATAAATTGGAAATTATTATGAAATCTAATCAAACATATCATTTAGTGATTAAATTTGAAAAATAATACGTCCCACACACATCTGTACCACTAGTATGGGTTTTAATCGTTTTCGAATTCGATCAATCGTATTGTCTCGTTTCCATACAGCGCCCCTAGCGTTAACTACCAAAAACAAAAATCAGCAGTATGAGTTTCATCGAGTCATCGTTAAACGAAAACTACCAGTTTTCGTATTTCGTTTGCATTTTGGCAGTACAAGTTACAACTTTGACAGCGCGTCATGAGTATACTACGACGTTTGATCGTATCGTACCTCGATTAGAAACTTTCAGTGACTAAGCGTTTCGAGCCAAGTTTTTATGCAATCTAATAATGTTTTCGGCACAAATTTACCTCTCATGCTCGCTGAAGACATTGACGAAGACCAGCGTGCACAGGAACGACGGGAATTATTACAGTGGAGGCGTTAACTTCTTTCATCACCGACAGACATTTCGTGCAATGTAGGTATATATATTTTTGATGTGTAACATCTTTCCTCTCGCTTACGTGCAATTTGTGGGAGTGAATTCATGAAATAGGACGAAAGTTTGTAACAGGAAGTCGCGAAAGCGCGCACTATTTGATTTTAGAACATGATGTTCAAATTGGTTATTCCTTTTGTAGTAGGTTTTATTTCTTTTTTTACTATTAATGTCAAATGTTACACATCATACGCGACTACTGTAAGGCTCGCTCGTTTTTTTAATTTTATTTCTTTACGGCCTTGAAGTCAACCATACAGCCAAGTTGCACACACAGATAAACGTAGGTTCTGTACTCTTTGGACACAGATTAATAAGATTAAGTATGCTTTCCAATTACAGAGCATAATGCGACTCAGTGCCGCACAATGCCCAATTATGCTGATGCTTAATTGGAACGTGGATTAGTTTTCAAATGCACCAGCAGAGTGCGCTAAGCTCAGTGTTGAAAAAAAAAGTCAATGTTTGTACCTTCATCCATACTTATATTTATTTTTTAACAGTTTGAATGAACTTTGATTATTTAAAAAAAACTATTTAATGAAACGAAAGCTTTAATAATTTTTCAACAATAAATAATATTACTAACGATAACATATAAATAAAACATTTCGATCAATGCCAACTTAAAGAAAAAACACTTGTTAATTTTCTGTCTCTAAGTTGGTACCATTGCACGCATCACACGAAAGCATCACTTTTGAGAGTGCTCAATTGTGCGAAGCGTTGCTGTAGTTGGAACACTCAACGTTAAGCATTATACCGCATAATGCGCTATAATGCTGTAATTGGAAAGCAACCTTAGTCTAGAGTTTTACATATATTTGGTAGCTTTCTAATTACAGCATTATAGCGCATAATGCTTAACGTTGAGTGTTCCAACTACAGCAACGCTTCGCACAATTTTGAGCACTCTCAAAAGTAATGCTTTCGTGTGATGCGTGCAATCGTACCAACTCAGAGACAGAAAATTAACAAGTGTTTTTTCTTTAAGTTGCCATTGATCGAAATGTTTTATTTATATGTTATCGTTAGTAATATTATTTATTGTTGAAAAATTATTAAAACTTTCGTTTCACCATAGTGTTTTTTTTAAATAATCAAAGTTAATTCAAACTGTGTTAAAAATTAAATATAAATATGGATGAAGCTTAGACCATTAAACCACAGGACTAGCCTCGCAAGATCTTTCCCCCCTGTCAAGGTATAAGATCAAATGATCCTGTGCGTTCATAAAAACTACTTACAATCGATAGATTTCCACAATGTGAGAATCGTTATCGTTGTGACAACAGCCCGTGTCTCCTCGCAAAAAAATGCTAACCTGTGCCGTTTTAACGTGCAAAAAAATATCAAACACCTCTAATTTACAAAAGGACTTAGGAGGAAGGTTTTTTCTATATTTTAGTGCTTTTTTTCAATTAAAAATGAACTTTACAATAATCAAGAATAGAAACTTGCAAGTAATCGAGTGAAGTGGCTTCCACACGATACAATTTTACGTCCAATTTGATTAGATTGACAATCTAATTGTGTTGTGTGGACGGAAATATGAAATTGAAGGTCATTGGATGGTCGGTATCGCCCGATTTGGGATTGCCCAATCAAATTGGGTGGTGTGGACGCTAACTGGCCAATTTTTTAACGTAGTCACTGTGCAAGCGGCGTTCAGAGCGGGTGTGTGCGTTGACTTGTCTTTTGAGAAGAAGATGGAGCAACATGACGACAATATTATGTCTATTCGATCTGAACGGGAAGTAATGGAGGAGATTTTAGATATATGTAAAGACTTGCCATGCCTTTGGGATGTGTCTAACCCATTATATAAAAATAAACAAGCAAGGCATAATTCCTTAGAGATTTTGCGGAATAAGTGGAAAAATATTGATAAAAATATTACTGTTATAATTTTTATTATGTTTAAAGCATGCAACTGCTTGATGTTTAAATTTAAAGAAAATATAATTAGAAAAAATCCACGCGGACCAGTCAGCAGACGGGACTCGAACCCGCACCCGGGCGAATGCGCTGACCAATTATGCTACCGCGGCCCTGATGGCCGCGTCGATATTCCATTCTTAAGCTGCAAAGCAGCGCCATTTCTTCGCATTGTAGGTATCCCACAATGTCAAATGAAAACTTTTACAAGTATTAAACATTTGAAAGAAGAAATTGCAATTATAGTTATAATTAAAGCATGTAACTGCTTGATGTTTAAATCTAAAGAAAATATAACTAGAAAAAATAACAAAACATGCTTGTGCGTGCTTGCGTATGTAATATGAACGTAACGTACGTATGTATTTTAATACATAAAAGCCAGAGTAGAGAAAAAATACGATTTGACAGCTGGTGGTTTCATGACGGTTTAGTAAAAATGAGTTTTTATACTTTAACATTGGAATGGTGGAATGAGTGTTCATTAAAACAAACCAAATAAACCCAGACTCGAGGGATCTTTTTGTTAACATTGAAGAATTCACTATTCACCTCCTGTGCCCTTAGTACGAGTTTAACAATTACGAAAACTATGATAATTTTCGTGAGCTCGCACCGTATTAAGAGTACTGATTTTATTGTTTTCGTTTCAATACAAATAAACAGTGTTTAAATTTTATCATTAAATCATTTGTTTCTTATTAAATTTTAAGTATATTTGGTTACTTTTCACCAAAATGGACAAAGAAACATAATTTACAACTACGAAAACTATGATAGTTTTCGTGAGCTCAAACTCGTACTAAGGGTACTGGCTTCATTATCAGACTGGCTCAATGATATCAGATTATCGTATTGTCATCCAAATTACATACACTTACCAAGTTTTGAATCAATATGAGAATAAGAAGTAGATTGAATTCGACTTTCCAGATTTGTTTACCTAGTTAATTACAAGTGAAGTTAATATAAGCGTGTTAAAATATGATGTTTTGACTTGTTTGACATCAGTGGCGGGGCTAGACCACATGTGGACGTCGGCGACATTAAGTTCGCGAGGCCTATTTTACTTCGCAGTAAAAAACCGTTAAATTAAGTGAGCCAAATTATAAAATAACGTATGAGTAAACGAGTTTTATTGTTGATAATCAAATGATGACAAAAAATAATTACAAACATAGAAATTTAATTACAAAAATATTGTTGCCAGACAGACGATTCTGAATACCCGTAAAGTACTACTCGCTTCCATCACGCACGTGTTCGAAAATAATAAAAGTCATTATCATCTGCTTCGCTTTTTCCCCGAATTGTTCGGGGTCGGCTACCTAATCCAGGCCAGGAGAAACGAAAATAAATAGGTAACTTGTAAAAATTTTTTGCGCGGCCCCATCAGGCGCGAGGCCGTCGGCGGTGGCCGACGTCGCCGACGCCTAGCGCCGCCACTGTTTGACATAAGCTCTTAAAAGATATGAAATCATCAACAGATCTTGTACCACTGAGAATAATTGTAATAATCATAATAATGTTAAATAAAAGTGAGTGTAGAAGATTATTTGAGTTCATGTTGTACTTTTTTCAATAAAAGTTTTAATCTAATGTCTTAAAGTATTTTTATTTCATTTTAATTTACCTCTGGCCATCTACAGTAACAGTAGCAATATTTTTTTATTGCCGAAATCGTTAAATTTAACACACATTTTATGGACAAGACTGTACCTATGTTGAAACGACTGTTTGACAGATAAAAAGAAATGCACATATATACATAAAACAAATGACATTTAAGACGAAACGATTCTTTAAGTTAAGCAAAAATTATAAGTGATTGGGTAATTGCGCCAGTGAATGGAACACACGAGGAGTGAATTTTATACTCATACTGCGACACAATTCGAAAACGTATAGTTTGATCGAATCGACGAAGTCGATCATTCGTTTCGTATTAAAAAAACTCATACTAAGGGTACTGTATGGTAGCCAAACAAAAATATTGGAAGCTCTTTAAAATAATAAGAAATTTTAAACCTCTGTGTAGGTAATGTAATGTAGAACAACATCTCACTATTGTTCAGAAGTATCTTAAGCATTTTAAATATAATAAGAAAATACCTAAGATATTTATCACCATCTCCGGTTTGCTGAGACACCAATATTCTATCTTGTGACACAGCTCTAAATGTCCCACCTCCTTGTAAATATATCTTCTCTGGTCTGTGAGAGCCAAATGGACCAAGCCTCTCATCATTAGGTGATGTCAGAGGCGAAGGTGATGAGAATGGGTTGTCAATGTATTGGTCTTGGTATGTCATGTTTGATTCCAAGCTTTCCAACATTGTCGACAGGTCTGTTGGTCGAGCTGTAATTTAAGAATGACATTAGGTATAGTACTTTGTATAGTAAGTCAACATGAATATTAAAAATATTAAATTTGATATTTATGTTCAAAATAAACCTAACTTTATTTAATATGTATACCTACAAAATCAAAATATTTAATCAACAATGTTGAAAGATAACAAAAAAACTTTGCAGCGTTAAATATTACTTACCAACACACTTTTTTACTACACATTTGTATAGAACAAGTATTATGATAATTACAGTGAGAAATGCAACAAATAATTATTTACAATAACCTTATAAACATCATCATCATCATCATCAGCCTATTAGTGTCATCACTGCTGGGGCACAGGCCTTCCCAATGGATGGAATAGGGAGATTGAGCCATGATCCCACCACGCAGACCCAGTGTGAATTAGTGGGTGCTAACGACTGCAGCCTGGACTAACGGCTGAACATGCCTTCTGAAGCACTGAGGAGCTTGAGATAGTCAATTTTTGGTCACCCATCCTATGCCAACCTCTGTGAAAGTTACTTAACTTTAACGCCAGCTGAACGTGGTTACTAATTGCGCCCTTGAGAACATTATAATTAAAAAAAAAAATTATAGTACCTGGTTTGGTAGTTGATTTATTTTTTCCACTTTTAAAAACTTTAGGACTAACATCTCTGTCATTGGAGTTGCTGTCCTGTCTCTCTTCTTTCATTTTCCTTCTGGTTTTCCTGGGTTTGTGTCGTGGTTCTTTGGCAATACCATTGTTGTTCTCCAGATCATTTGCCTCTATTTCTAATTCACCGCTCAATGTTACCACTTCATCTTTGTTATATTCCTTTAAATAATCATCCACCTGGGAAATATTTACAAAAATCAATTAGTATTAATGTTACATTATTGTTTTATTTTATTGATTAGTTATAAACAAAAATAATAAGGTTAATCAAGATCATCATGAGTTTATTAATGTCCTCACTGCTGGGGCACAGGCCTTCCTTATTGAGGGAATAGGGAGATCGGGACATGACCCACCATGCAGGCCCAGTGTAGATTGGCGGGTGCTAACGACTGCAGATGCAGCCGGGACCAACGGCTTAACATGCCTTCCGATGCATGAAGGAACTCAAGATAGGATATTTTTTTGGTCACTCATCCAAAGACCGACCACTGCGAAAGTTGATTAATATAAGGGTTAAAATAATAAAAAGGTAATAATCAACAACAATCTACAAATATAATTTGAAATAAGAACACTCACTTTTTCTAGAGCACTTAGACTAGATCCAGGTATTTCAAAATCATGCAGATCTCTATCCCTATGCTTAGAAGAGTGTCTTTTCTTTTTTCTGTAAGACGGACTTCTTTTCTCTTTATGCCCACTGGTAGGCCTAGATAACGCCTTCATAACCTTCTCATCTAAGCCATTCGGATCATGAGAATAAAAAACAAATGAGGGATTTTTGTCGGATTTTTTAAACTCCTTCTCAACAAAGCCCAAGATACCTTGCTTTATTTGGTCATGAATGGGCAATTCAATGTCTAGAGATTCATGTTCCGAATTCACCCAGCTTTCCCTTGTTTTGCCCTTTTCTGCTGACGTTTCTTCCACGGCAGTAGCGATTTCTATTTCATCTTGAGCAGCCGAATGCCCGTTTGATAGTTTTCGAGATCCAGATCTAGACCTTGGTCGACTTTTATGCTTCGGTGAGGGTGACCGAGCAGATATGTGTACTTCAGCTATCTCCTCTTTAGTTTCTACACTCTTGCCTGGCTTCATTTTTTATTATATATTTTGCGTGAAATACAAGAATAAATAAATATTTTGCCACAATGCGCTGTTTGGTCAGAAAATCTACATGTCTACGACTTAGAATAACATAAACTGTTGTATCCGTTCCTAACTAAGCCATATTTTAATAAATTTTAAAAATTATGTTGATATTTACAGATAACATTAATTCTGTACAAAGGCTTAAATTAGCTTATTAAGCACAGACTATTTAGATACTACGTAAGCTTATGTAGTACTAAATTAAATATTTCTTTCTAAATGTCAAATGTCAACGGTGTGATCAGAATATTTTTTACGAAAATACCGACTTTTACGAAAAACCTCAAAAAAAATACTGAAATATAACGAATGGAACAAAGTAAATATACCAGCAAAAATACTGAATTTCAGAATAGGTTTCCTTCATTCATCGACACATTTTTGTTTATAAATCTGTTAAGAAAATATGGGCTCGCGTGCAGCATTCGATACTGGTAGGATTGACACGTTACTAAACGTAATAGCCAGACAGACCAGCCAGTTAGTCCGGGCATTTGGGTACAAAGACCGGACACCCTTCATTATTATGGACTTGAGGCTTAGTAATATTAGGAGCGAACCGACGGTCAAATCACAACACATCAAAACACAAAACAAAAAAAATATGTTCCTGTGGGATTTTCAAAAAACTAAATTGAATGCGGACGAAGACACGGGCGGCCGCTAGGTAACTATATCATTATCCATACTATATATTAATATTATAAATGGGAAAGTGTGTTTGTTTGTTTGTCTTCTCTTCACGCCTAAACCGCTGAACCGATTGTGATGAAATTTGGTATATGTATAGCTTGAACTTATGAGACTGCTATAGGCTTTTTTTTTAATTTATGTATTCGAATTTACATAATTTTCAACTAAATTAATCATTTTCAGGGTTGGTCCCGATAGAGATGGCGCTACTGTCACGAAGACAGATTAAATTTGAAATGTGGAAGTTGCTATCTTAACATAATACGAGATGGCACCACTCGTGTTCAATACCGAGTAGTTTGTGTAAGTGTTTCATTTATTAAATCGAGGTAAATTTACGCAATTTCTTTCTAATCTCATTTTTAAAATTAAATCTAGCAAAGACTACTCTAAATTTATAATATAAAAATATCATTTTCGAGTGATGATGATAGCTAGATAGGATGTTGCTTATAATAATAAGAGATGGCGCTACCATCTCGAATACCAACTCAACCGAGTAGTCTCTCTTGAAATAATATTTTTAATTGCTAAAAATGTGAGTTGTGATATTGCGTTTTTTCAGATCGCGCTATTTATGAACATGACTTTTTAATATTTATTATTAATTTTAACGTGATGTAGGTAGATATTGTAATTAAAACAATATTAGTAAAAAAACCGACTTCCTTCAGTGTTCTAATATCTTCCCAGAAAATCTTATAAACATCAAATAGATATTAAATAATCAGATGTTTACAGTAGACAGATACTAAATAAACAGCTGTTATGATTTATTTTAGTCCCTTAATCGAGTATTATCCAATAATTTTCAAGTGAAGATTGATCCTGGATGTTGAGTAGAGGTAGGCGCTACCAACTCGAATAACATTTCTAAAACCAAGCTGTTGCGTGTGAAACTGAAGAGATGTCGCTACCCGTCATTAAAATTGAGTTTCCTTGCACTAAAAATCTGAGGTTTTTCGGATGGCGCTATTCATGAACTTTACTTTTTTATATTTATTGTTTTTAATAGTATTCTGTTATCTGTGCTATTAGAGAAGAATCAACGTGGTGGTATTAAGTGCTTACTATTTCAGCAGGTAAGCAACAGCAAGCAGTAGGTACCTACCTACTTTGATTGATTTTAAAGAAATACGATTTACCAAGGTACCTACCTACATATCTGTTTTTGTTTTCCTTTGTGATTTGGTTTTGTTGTGCATTAAATGCATTAGGTAGGTATTTTGGTAGTTTCTTCGAATGTATAAAATTGGCTCACTGATAAAAATTACGATTATTATATTATAACCTACCTACCTCGATTTTTATCAGTAAGATAGACAACGCATAGGTAGGTATTGGTTTTTGTAATAATATGGTATTGTAGTTTTTGATTGGTTTTGTTGCTCTGAAAGAAGGGCTGCCTATTTGGTAGATACCTTTGTAGATAGGTACCTACCTACATTATCTACTAAGTGCGCATACTATTTCGGCAGGTACCTAGATAGGTAAATACCTTGATTTTAATAAAATACGAATTACATATCTACATACCTACATAATATATGTTAAGTATCTGTTATTAACATAATAATAATTAAATAAAAAAACCGTGCTTCTCCCATGGCCAGCAGTATGTTGCATGTTCGCGTGTATCTAAGGCTGAAAATCTATTCATTCTGGCCCCGGATGGAAAAACACATAACATCGTGTACAGTAGCGTACTTAAATAGTACTGCTATGTGTTTAAAATAATTAAACCCATTATTCTAATAATACTAATGCTCTTTACTTATTATTATGAGAGTGTTTGTTTTGTTTATCCTATCTCGAAGCCTAAACCACTTTGAAATTTGGTAAGTATGTAGGTTGAAGCTTTGGGTTGCTATAACCTACTTTTTTACTCACTATGTCAAAAGAGGATGATAGCCTCAAATAGGAAAACCACGCGAGCGTAACCGCGGGTAACAGCTAGTTTATTTATAAAAAAGAAAAACTCGCACTCTATTATGATGATTAGAAAAAGTACCAGTTTAGGGAAATTCCTGAATTCCTTAAAAGATTAAGGCAAAAGAACTGCAGATTAGAAAATCATTTCACTTAAATCGTTTTAGCTATTAATTGTATTGCCCATGTCCTAGCTGTAACTTACGTACCACTGATCCTAAATGAATTACATGTTGCCATAACTTTTTATTCAAAATATTCCCGAAAATACTGACCTCTGCTAAAAATACTGATGCTCCGAAACGTCGATAAAATAAACGGAATAAGTAATAAAATAATGAATCTGGTCACACTGAATGTCAATCAAGAGTGATGACGTCATTGTGACGTCATAGGCTAAAAGAGCTATAGATAAAATAATACGCCATAAGTCCTCTATGCACTATCCATCTTGCTGGATCCAGCATGCGGGACAGCACAATACACATAAAAGATGGAATTACAGGATATTTTTCGTGTATAGCGCTGTCGCACTGGTCCAGTATGATGGATAATGGTGCCAATTCTGGCGTGATTCTCTAAACTTAAAACTAAATTTAACATCAGTCTCTCCTTTTCATTCTGTATAGAGAATGAAAAGGATATACTGCTATCAAATTTAAGTTTAGGTTTAGAGAATCGTGCAAGAATCGACACCAGTAAGTAGTGAATTTTAGCTTCAGCCAACCTCAGTAGCCAATAGTCCTTCAGTTACGCCTTTAGTACCTACCGTAGTTCGCCGCTTCGGTGTGGAAGCGGCGAACTACGGTAGCGCAACTATAGTAGGTAATCGGATTCCTAGAGCAACACGGCCGACGCGCCTAGTAGGGAAGTAGGCATTCACAGCGTTCCCCTCTGTCGATTATCCCCCGCTGTTGGGCCAGTCCAAAAACAAAACTAGTTGCGCTCAGATATTACACTAGATTGAGTCAAGTCGCGATAGAGGAAGTCAGAGCACAAAAAATGGCAAAATTTTATGTAATTTACTGTAAAACATGTCTGGAATAATAAACTTACAAAAGAATGGTGTTAAATTTCACATATAAGTGGAATTATAAACATATTATTTATATTTAACCCTCAGACCAAATAAAAAGTAAAGACGGAGTCTGCCGAACCAAAAAGTGAAGCCTGTTTTTTATGTATGTAGTGCATTAGCCAGTGTTACCATAGTCATATAAAACACCCCAATATTAGAAAAAGGTAATAACGTTATTTCATAACGTTATTAATAACGTTATAAAATATTAGAAAAAAATATCGTAAGCTTATTCTCTAAACCTCTCGTGAGCCAAAGGTCATGCGCCGTTCTCACCTACAAGTGCCGGACTTCTTTATGGACCGCCCGCCCGCTGGGTGGGAACGATTGCATTGTTCTGCCGATTTCTCTGTTATTTTGTAAAAATATCCTTCACAAACGTATATTTGGATTCTCCATAAAATTTTCAATAAAACAGTGTGTACACAATGCGTCATGTCTATAATTTATTTTAATTACATTATGGTAAACTCAGGAAAGATAAAAAAAGTCGTTTAAATAGGTAAAATGAGGTATATTTTCAAAATTTGTAAATTATAAATCCAGGTTTTTGTACATATAGAATGTACTATATATGAATGAATGTATATAATAACTTACCAAATATAATTATAAAATATAACACGCAACAGAAAAAAATGGTCGTGTTTCAAGTGTTGATAAAAACAAATGCGAGATCCAAGTGCCTAGATTTATGTGTTGACGTTTAATTATGTTGGATTGTTTATTTTACTTTAGTTACAAGTCTCGGATGGAATAGGTTTGTTCATTTTATAGTTTCAAGCACTCGCAACAAGGCACTTGAAATCGCTTACAAATCAGTCATCTCAACTTTATGTCGATAAAACGAAAAGCATATACAAATGTTGATAAACAGTTTCTTTTATTAAAATGTACATGAAATTTTCTATAGAATACACAAAATATAATCACTAGTTCCTATACAAGAACATAATAAAATAAATCCACAAACATCGCGAATTTTGGGTCAAAAAGGCCATTAAAAAGTACAATACAAATAAAATTACAAATATATTATTATTTTACAAATCGTCGCTCTGAAAATGAGTCGAACAAACCACGCTGCGGGAAGCTGGTTGCCACAATGGTTCATTTCTACTCTTACGAATGACTGCAATCCACTTCTCTTTTAGATCTTGATCTCGATTAGGAAATCTTAAAAAAACGTATAATATATAATGTGTATTACATCCCAAAAAATTTATACGAATACATAAAGAAAAAAGATGTTTCGTGTAATTGTTTATCCATGCATTACAATATTCGAATAATATAAAAGTATGCCACACAATGTATTTAATAAAATAACGTTACGTTATATTTCACGCTACCCAACAAAAGGGTAAAACTGTAACGAATAATCATGGCAACATTTCGTTCAGGTTTTGTTTACAAAGCGACAACTTCAAATTTGATTTTGATTAATTGAAAATAGCAGTTTATAACTTTACTTACGTATGAAATGTGATTCCATCCTGTTTTTTATTCTTGGAAGATTGGTTTTTACACGTTTTCACTACACAATTCGG